TTTATCAGGAGTGTCAATATTTTATCAAGGGTGTCAATATTTTTAAGAATTGATTTTTGTAGATCTTTGTGAAAAAAAACTGTACATGAAAATTGAAAATGCAAGTTTTTTCATCCTTTATCATACTACTTACCCAAAAATTTATTTATTTACACCTAAAAATCATTTATTTTTCCTAATTTAGCGAATAAAACCCTATAAACAAGCTACTGGAGATGAAAAAAATTATTTTCCATAAAAGGGGTGGGATGGGGTTTAAGGAAAATTTACACCCCTGAATTTTATTTTCAAGGAAGAAATGAGATCTCTGTGTTTAGAAAGATAGAACTGGAGAATGATGAGTCTGCCCGAGATCTGCAGGTTGCAGTGGAACGTGGAGAGTATATACTTGCGCAGATCCATGCAGCACTTCATGATATAGCAACTAAACAAATAGAGATGGGACATCTCTCATAATATGATGGGACACGTAAGATGATGGGAAACCATTCACAAAATGATGGGACACCTTCCAGGAACACTTTTCTGAAGATGATGGGAACCCAATCACAAAATGATGGGAAACTTATCTTAAACTGATATGGGATCTTTTTTATTAACACCATTGTGTAAAAATACTTATTTATCGATAGTAGTTTTTTCTAATTTGTAATTTGAATAATCTTGATATTTTGTTACTGTACATCGATATTTTGTTTATTTATTCTTATATTTGAATATTTAAAAGTATTGTTTCCGCTTTTAATTCTCAATTTTAAGAAAATCAGGATTGTCACTTTTTTACGAAAAATTCATAAAAAAATTAAGTTTTGTCTTCTTATAAAATCTTCTTGAGTCTTTATCAATGAATTTTAGCTATTTGGAAAAGCATTAAGACTAAATGTCTTGAAAGCTATATATTCATAATTTATAATGTTTTTTATACAAGACGATATTGATTTGTGAGTAATTTGTAATTAGAGTAAAGTACGTAATTTTGTTAAAGTTAAACTTAACTTTTCCGATTTTTGGGAAAAACATCTATAATATATAATAATATGCAATACTTACAACATTTACACTTTAGGAGCTACTAAAGATCTATATGGAGCAACTACTGAAGAAAAAAAAATTAAACAATAAATAAACCCTACAAAGCTTAGCTCTTTTATTGTATTTGTTAGCTCTAAAATTTAAAAAATGCATTATTTTGCATATTTGTTTCTTTATGTCCTGTAAATGTTTAATTGAAGAAAAAAATTCCGCGACTGAAGATATACAAACCTGATAATAATATTTTAGTAAGAAGTAATTTTGGTTAGGCTAACATCTCTACTTGCAATGATATTAGGGTTGAAAGATAGTTTTAACCAAATTCAGCAATTTTTTAAATATAACCAAGTAACGCACTTCACCATGTATTTTCAGAAAATAATTTAAAATAACGGTACGTTTTAGCCCTTTTTCTCATCAAAAATGTGGAAGAAAACGTCGTTTTCCTGACTTGAAAAGTGTTAAATTCTGATAATTTCTCCATTGTTTATGAAGCAAGAAATTGAAAGATAGGTATAACCAAATAACTCACTTTACTCTACCCTGTATTTTCAGCAAATAGTTTAATATATCCCCAGTCCCTCTTAAAGGAACCTTTAAATAAAAACAAGCTATTTTCCAAATCAAAAAAATGGATGTCTATTTCTTACTTAATCAGACAAAGCTTTTTATGAGACTGTTGTAAATCAGAAATTTTACTCGATTCAACAGAGGATCACTTGAATTAACAATGCAGTCCCTTCAAACTTTTTTATTGTTCAAAATGAGCTTTGTACGGAATAAAATCTTAAATTTTATTTTTATATTGTATCTAAATTCTGAAGTTAGGATTTTTGCGATTTTCCCATTATGTTTAACAGTGTATTAATTTTTTCCATGTGTATTATTGTTTTTGTTACTTGTATTATAAAATGTGCCGAAGTGTATAAAATATCAGATATTGTTTGTAAAACTGTATTTCTTTTCTTCTTTATATATGATATTTTTACAAGAAAAAAAAACAGTTTGATCTCTCAGAAAGAAAACTAAATTTTTCAGAAAACATGGGTTAAAGGAAGAAATCTTTCTATTATTCCGAACTTCTGCTGACTGGTAATTATGAAACAGAATTTTTTTTAAATCTTCATATACATATTATTTTTATGTTCATGGCCTAATATTCGAAAACTTGCTCTGTCTACTCCCATATATTTGGCCTACTTTTGTTGGTTAAAACGACATTTTAGAGAAAAATATTAAATAGACGACCTCCCCCCCTCACTTATCATTTTGGCATTTTACCTACTTACTAGAAGCACTTTTTAGTACAGTAAAACCACGTTTTGTAAGCAAAATAACTATTTATTTACTATTAGCAAGAATTTACCAAGAAGAACTGCCAACTTTACCGGGAATTTACTCATACCAAGTGTTTTCGAGACTTTTCGATGATAATTCATCAAACGCGTAAGCGAGGGATTCTCCTGAAGTTTTATCACATTCTTTCAGCAACCTTTACAATATTGACTATTGTTAAATTGTGCTAATAATATTAAAATTATGTATCAAGACTTTTTTATTTTTTTAAACTTTGTCCTTGTAAAAGCTAAATTTTGTAAATTTGCGAATTTTTTTCACAAAAATTTGCAATCTACAATTCAGTTTTCTGCTAACCTCCAACGTGAAAAGTCGTTCTTCCATTACTGCTGTCCACGACAAACAGATGAAAGGGAATTAACAAAAACTAAAATATCTGCTAAATTTCTTCAGGATTATAGAGATGTTTTCTTATCACGTGGTCAGCTGGAGCAGCTAAACCAAACTGTGCTCATGATGTCTTGTATAGAGATGTTTTCTTATCACGTGGTCAGCTGGAGCAGCTAAACCAAACTGTGCTCATTGATGTCTTGTATGAGGAACATTTTAATTCTTTAAAACGTAATTAAGCAACGGAAGTAGCGGATAATGCCGGATAAATACTGTAAGAATGTATCTCTACAGTCTACAAATAAAATTGCAATTAAAATGGTAACGGTCGCATTGGTGTGACTCTCCTGTACATGTTCTACATGCTTCTACAGAAATGAAATCAAGATAGAAATAGTTATTTTTTGCGTAAAACCAGTATTATCCAAAACAATAAAAAAGGCATTTTAATTCGATTGTTTTGTGTCAGTTATAATCTTTAAATTGCAATATTTGTGAAGATGTATGGAAATAATAAATTTTAGATATTTAAATTTAATTGGGAGTGAGAAGTCTCAAATCATGAAATAGAAACTTCCCAAAACATGCTCTACCTTGGGCGAAAAGTAAAAAATAAGGAAAAGACAAGGTTAATGATGATGTTCTAAATGGGTTAACAGCTTAAGAATACTTTTTTCACACACACTCTATAGTAGGCTTGTTTGTTTGTAACATACTAGGCTTTTAGGGCGCTTCGCGGCCATCTTCTATTTCAAGACATGTTCTCAATGTAACATTGAAAAACAAAGAAATAAAAATTTCGCGGATTTTATAACAAAATTTAATTTTATTTCAAAATTTTAAAATATTTTACAAAAATAAAAAATTTTGAAACACAAATTTTTAAAATTTTTATCATTCATAAACATTTCCTGGGGTTGTGCGAGATCCCACAAAAAAATTAGGCCCGATCGGTTCAGCCGTTTTGACGTTTATTGGATGCAAACAAACAGACAAACAAATTTATGTATAGATAAACGTCTGTGCGTTTTTGACCCTTATTTGTTTACTTCTCTGATATCGCATCTTTTATTTTCTAGAATGTTCAAACATGTCCGACGTGAGCGATAATATTTCTAAGTGGAAAACGGAGGAAGATTTCCATATTGATGTTCACAACTTTCTAGAAATAAATCTGGTCGAGAAACAGGAAGAAATAGACATTTTAGAGGAGACAGTCAGGTTTTCTTTATCTATTCATTTTATCCCTCGATTTATTTCGTCAATCCAGTTTTATTTTATTTTTTTTATTTTTTCTTAAAATATGATTTTTTTTCAGTGTTTTTTATTTAATAATGTAGAATAGATTTTAATTCATTTGTTAACTATTTTTTTATTTCAATAAAGGTGTTTATTGTTTTTTTTTTATTTAACAGCTTAATTTACATATAGATATTATAAATTTTAAAAAATAAGGAGAGAGGCGGTGATGAATGATTGTGGGTCNTACATATATGAACTTTCGTATAAGTTGAACACAGTTTTATATCAATTTCTCGAGACAGGAACATCAGATAAAACTTTCATGGGTCGCGATCAAGAGCTAAAGTGATTAGCTTTCATCGTATTTTCCCTTTCATTTTTCCTTTACAGTCCCTTTAATCTGGTCAAAAATGTGGAAGAAAATGTTGTTTTTATGACACGAAAAAAGTGTTAACTTTTGTGAATTCCTCTAATCTTTCTTGTGTGCACGAAAGGCGCAAGTTACATTAGCAGAGAAACCACAATTAAAATTAAACAGTTTAAAGAAACAAAAACCATCCATATATATATAATCAATAATATCAGATAAACCATTTAAAGGTTCCGGTGTAAGTCGGGAATTGCCATCTTTGCATGGAGGGCACTTACGCTTAGAGTCTCACAAAGAAGGGGTTAATAAACTTTTTGGTCAAGCTAAAGCATTAAACTGTACAGGGGGACAGGGGTGTATAAGAATTACAACCCGGGGGGTGGTGGGGTAAAAATCCGACATCAAGTTTATTTTATCCTTATGAATACTTTTTGCTTATAAAAATAACTATTTTCCTCTATAAATCATCTTTTTGCCTTACTTTAGTAAAGAAAATTATCAAATTAAAACGTTTGCGCAACATTCGAAGTATCCCTAATGTTTTTTCCAATTGCATTATGTTATTACTTAGTACTAATGTCATATTTTTAGATCTATTGCTTTTTGTTTTTCTCAAACACAAAATCAAAATCCCGAATTCAACTTTTTAATGTTTTTTTCTTTTAAAGGTTGTTCTAGTCTCAGTGAATTATAAAATTCGGCGGAAATCCGGAGAAGAAAATCCTGTTCAGTTTTCACTTTTCATCGATAGATCCGCAAACCAAGATGAAAAATCCACCAAATCTCCGCGAGTCTTCCAAAATTTATCCAACATGGCGGCATCATCCTCTCCCTCATCGCTTCCGACCAATACAAAGCTAGAGTGCGAGTGCTGTGGTAAAAAGTTTAAAAGCATGCAAAATCTGACTGGGCATGTTACAAAATATCTTTGCAAGTTCAAATGTACACAATGCACCTACACCTCTAACGTCAAGTATAATCTTAGGACGCATTTTCAAACTGAACACACCCGGGTAAATATTCATTTTTTAATTTACTTTTTTTCGGATTTCATTACAATTTTTGATGTGATTTATTTCAGGGTCCAGTTTTTTTCTGTAGTCATTGTACAAGTTCATTTAATACTCTGCAGTTGAAGCAAGTTCATGAATACATTAGCCATCCAAAAGTAAGAAATAATTTTGTAATAATAAGGCATATTAATTATAGTAATAACTATCTCCCTATTTTAATTGAACCATAAATGTATCCAAAAGAAACTCTTTGTCCATACCACAGACTTCACAGACTGCACATACACTCTACCTGGATAGGCTAAGCAGGCCTATAGTGTCCCGGCACGCCATGCTACGGTTCCATGTAATGTTTTTTGACTGACATCTCACGGCCACATGTTGCAGTCAGGGGTTAAGTTTTACAACTTTTAAATAATACTTCTATTTTAAACATAACGTTTATGAATATTGTCTATTTTTAAAGATTTTGCATTTCCTATTGAAAGGATCCTTAAATATCCCTGAATAAAGATGTCTCCTGATTGGTCGTGTACAGTACTTGTAAACAATTGAACATGCTGTGGAAAATATCGCATATTATAGGTGTTAATCGATCTCTTTAATTCTCTTATCTCTGGTCTACACATTATTTAGAATGCAGATTTGACCCAAAGAACTTATTTTAATGTTGAAGAAACTAAAAAAAATTTCCAACTAATTTTTATCATTGAAGGCAAAGCCGGTCAAAGAAAGATGTGGTAAATGTTATCGGAGATGTGGAACCAAAAAATCTCTTCAAAAGCATAAGGAAAACAATTCATGCACTAACAATTAATTTAATTCCAAAACCCGTGAAATTAATGTCATTTTTGTTCTTCCATTTACTTACGAATTTTGAACTTTAAATTGTTGAAACTGATATAAATAATAAATAAAACAGTCACCCCTCAATGTTCAGTGTTCAGGAAGCATAGAAAAATAAAAAAATTAATACTTTTAGTAAATGATAAAAATAGAAAAGAAATTTTGAGAACTTAAAATTATTTCCCCCCCCCTGCTCAGTGCAAGGGGTAGGGTACTCTTAACAAAGATTATTAAAAAGATACAATATTGCCCAAATCATTTGTCACTTTAGCTTTTGTTCCTTTTTTCCTGTGATAATGTTTTGCTTCCAGCTGTTTTGTGTAAACCGACCTAGCTACAAATGTGATCTCTGCGACTTTATTACTCTAAAATTCAAACCTCTGAAAAATCACATGAGGACAAGACACAAATTCGATCTTCTATTTAGTGATATTGATAAGTATAGGTAACTTTCTTCTTTTTACATTCTTCTTTTAAAATTTAAAATAAATCCTTTTAAATCCTAGTATTTTGAAGATTTAATGAGATATTCTACAGGATGACACTGCACACTCAGAAGTGAAAGTGAAGAACTCAAATTATATATTTTTAGTGTACCTGTTCTCAAACCAGATGGATTATCAGGAGATCCTGGACATGAAACTCCATTAGTAAAACATACTTCTGAAGACCTAACCAAAGAATATGACTTTAAAGAAACAACAGTAAACGCTAACTCTGAAGCAGTCAATGAAGAAAGTGATGAAGAAGAAGAAATGGTTTCAAAGAATTCTGAAGTAGCAAGGAAAGAAGATAATTCCGAAGAAGCTCTTGTAGCAAAATATTCTGAAGAGATGAAAAACAAAGATGACTCGGAAAAAGAAACTGAAGTAAATGATTTGGAAAAGGCTTCAGTCCAAATCACACCAATTTGTAAAATACAACAAATAGAAACTGAAAAAAGAAGAAAAAGTTTATCAAAACTTCCTCAAGCTGATCTAATTGATTCTCAACGTAAGGAAGAAACAAGTACATTTCCTAATGCTTCAATACATCTGAAAAAAGATAGATTATTCTTTAAATCAGATAAATACCTTAGAAAATGCTTAAAAAATACTCAGTCTTCTTATAAAATTGGTTTAGCTCCTTCAGCGACTATCACTTCTGGACATTTTGATGAACCCCCAGAGGAAATCAGTTTCAAATCAGAAGAGAATATTGATGTTAAAGATGCTGATAATGATGGGTCTATAGGTTCAATTAGGTAATACCTTTGTCTTTTTAAAAAATTATTTTGATACAGGGCTAACCACAAAAAATGAGAATGTTAAGACAATCTGAAACTTTTTAAATTTGACGAATCCGAGGTTAATTAAGGACTTCGGCGTTGAATATAATCTTTTTATGGCTTATCCAATGATAAGGCAACAAAAAAAGCAGTTTAAATTTGCAGCTATAAGGATTTTGAGACAGCACAAATTCGGTGTAATCGTCTCATCCCTTGTATATAGCCCTGTAGTTTAGGTAATTTTAGGTTTTAAAGCAGTGCTTAGGATCCGGATCCGTTGGATCCGCAAGATTTTGGCTTCCTGAATCCGGATCCGCAAAAATATGCGGATCCACAAAAATATCAACCAAAAACTGAAAAAAAAACTTTTTTACTTCTTAAACCCAAATCTGAACTTTTGAAATAAGAGAGATTATAAAAATTTACTCATTTCTGAATGGTTCGTCAAGTTTTAGGATAAAAATAAGCGAAAAAAAAAAATAAAAATATTTTTGTAAAAAAATTCATTAAATCTTAAAGAAATGACCTGGATCCGGATCCATTTTTTTCCAGATTCGCATCAAAATTAAATGGATCCTACGCACTGTTCTTAAGGATCATCTTTACATGGTGGGTGACTTGAAATTACGCTCACAGTCTCTTTAATTTCAGGTCTGCAGTATATGTATGTCCTTATGATAAACTGATGTTTAAAGCAGTCAACCAGTTTCATCTTCATCTTCATGCCTTTCATCTTGATATGGGTAATTTTTTAAGTAAAAGCCTTTCTTCGTTTTTCTTTCCTTTTGAAAAAAAAATCTATTGTTCATTTTCATCTTTGTATTAACAATTTGGATTTCCGCATTATTCAGCAAAGGTATTTCCTATTTAATTTCGTCAACTTATCATTATAGTTCATTCAAAACAACTTTTGAAAAAAATATGAAATTATATATTTAATATTGTAAAAATCAGGTTAGAATTGATTCAAACAACTTTTTGTTAATATATCTTATTCTTTGGTTACTTTCCCGTTCAATAATAGAATTGGCTTATCTTTAATTTAGAGTCAACAGATGTAAAGTGTCCAATTGGAAAGGATAATTTTACTTGTACATGCGGAGTACATGTGAACTGTAGACAGAGCTATATATCTCATAAATCCAGGTATTTATTGTACTTGCACATGCGGAGTACATGTGAACTGTAAACAGAGCTATATATCTCATAAATCCAGGTATTTATTCTTGTACATGCGGAGTACATGTGAACTGTAGACAGAGCTATATATGTCATAAATCCAGGTATTTATTGTACTTGTACATGCGGAGTACATGTGAACTGTAAACAGAGCTATATATTTCATAAATCCAGATATTTATTCTTGTACATGCGGAGTACATGTGAACTGTAAACAGAGCTATATATCTCATAAATCCAGGTATTTATTCTTGTACATGCGGAGTACATGTGAACTGTAAACAGAGCTATATATCTCATAAATCTAGGTATTTATTCTTGTACATGCGGAGTACATGTGAACTGTAAAACTGTGAAAAAATCGTTTATAGAAAATACATTGATATCCCTTTTAGACAAAAAAAAACTTCTTTGCATACTTCTCATGAGCCTCCATCTTGATCGCTTAACATCATTGTAGATCGCTCAACATCATTCCCAGTTTGTAGCGATAGATGTATCGATCCAAAAATCCAATAAGGTTTTTAATTTATCGGAATGTTTTTCATAAACATTATCAATAAACAACTTCCTTAAAGGATAGTATTTTTCGCAACATTTCAATAAATCGCAAACACCCATGATCTCAAATGTGCAGCTCTATAAATCGCGGGGAAAGAAATCTACAAGATATATATCCTTGCTGCACTTTTAACACACTCTAAATCGGAATGCTTCTCATAACCTTTCTCGATACTTAACGCCAAGGCAAATTCGTCCTAATGAGCGATTAACTTGTAATTATATGCATGACAAATAAATTTATGTTTGATCCGTTGAGTTTCTTGACTAATGTCGTCATTGATATGCAGTAAGAAATATGCTTAAGTCTTATCTCATGAGTTGATTGAAAAATGTCGTCATTGCTGTACAATTTTAACTTTTATAGAAGAATTAATATAATACTGTTTATTTTAACACACATTAAATACATAAATGTAATTTCCGTTTATTATCACTGTGATATATTCAATATATAATATCCAATATTAACCTCTAAAACTATACGGAAAATAAAAAATATTTAGTTTTAACCAGTTTTAACTGCAAAAATGTTGAATATTTAATTTTTATTTGTTTTTAATCAATTCTTGACCTAACTTTCCGTAAATCAATTTTTACTAAAATGAGTATTTTTCAATGATTGTATTTAAGTTGTGTAAACTTTAAGCTCAAGTTTATGCACGAATACAAGAGTAAACTTTAAGCTCAAGTTTATGCACGAATACCTACTGGAGATG